GCTTGATTATAATGTAACATACTGAATATATATTCATATACATGTACTGACTTGTTACATTATCTGTGCATTTTAGTGTTTATGTGTACATGAGAGAATTCATGCACACGCATGTGGTAACATCCTTTCTTGGTCAACACTGAGGACTCTGGCGCCAAAATTGTGAAATTCACTCTTCAGTGGCTAGCACACCAAGCTTAAGTGGAGTCATCCAACGGACTCTACAACTGACCATGTCATGCTTCTGAATGCAAAATACTGGAAGAAGAGACAGAAGTAGATATAAATTTGAAAACTTTTATCCTTGTAGGAAAAATAGTGGAAACATAAACGTCTTAGAGGAAGACTAGCTTAATCACAAGGGGAAGGTTGAAGCCTTGGTGAAAGCAAGCATAAGAGGCTTTCCAAACAGTCCAGAATCAGAAAAGGGTGAGAGGAGAGGAAGGAAGACAGAAGTAGATCATGCAGAATAAATAAAGTCCAACCTTTTAAAAAAAAAATCTAAGGTCTTACCAAAGAGAAAGGTGGAAAAAAAGAAGATTTCAACAAGAGTGTTAAAAATGGAAAAGAGCCAGAAAGGGCTGTAAGCTTTAAAAAAAAAAAAAAAAATCAATGAAGAAGTAGTGGTGTATGTTGGCAAAGAGAAGTGTAGAGTTGAGGGAAGGGATAGAATTTATGGTAGGGGAAGTTGGTGTGAAGTTTTCCTCTAAAGATGCCCAGCAGAGCAAAGAAGGAATGAAGGCAAAAGCCCCTGGGAATAAGGTAGGGCTGGGACTAAAACAGCAGAGGAGAAAGCAACAGGGTCCAAAGTAGGAAATTATTATTATTTTTTTAATTAACTGACCCAGATTTTCTTGTCTGGGGCCAAAGGCAACTGTAGGATTTAAAGATCTTTAAAATAAATCATAAAGATCCTGCTCCTTAGAATTGCCTTTGGCCCAAAATAAAATAAACTATAAAGATCATGACAGAATTAGTGTCAGTTTCTGAGACAAGTACAAAATACCATCGTGGAGTTGATTTTAGAAATCAGACTAATAAGTGCTGTTAAATAAATGCTACTGTGAATAAAACACCTTTACCTTTCTCTTTTTATCAGTCACAGGGTAAATATAGAAACTTCATAGTTACACATGTCCACAGAAGACAGTAAGTGACCTAATATATATGGTAAAACCGAGTTGCTTGTCTTTGTATACTGTAGCCTAATGCCCACCCCCCCCAACAAATGTTTTACTTGGTTCAGGATTCACAGGACAGGTTATAGGGCTGCACAGAGAAAAGTTAAGCTTAAAAACAAAGACCGTAAGATGAGGGAGGGGGAAATGAGAGGTTTGTGCTGATACAGAACTGAGGCATTAGAAACACAGAATTCACGCAAGTCAGCGAGGGGGGAAAAAGGCACAAAAGCATGGCAGTGCCATATAACTAATCTTGATAGCCTCACTGTGGGTGTTAAAACACTGAATCCGACTTTTAAACTCTTTCTCTTTTTAAAACGTCAACATTTAATAGCTTGATATATGCAGTTATGTGATTTTAAATGACTATTAAAATTAGCACATCAATGCCTAATTCTTTGGCAAAGACCGAATGGCAGGTGGTAATGTTAGACACAGATAACCTCACCTTTAAGTCACTCACTACTCTTCCTGCTCGGAAGGCCATAGATTCTACCTGCGAGGGCAAATCCCAATTCCTCACGCCAGCATTTAAAGCTTTTAATGACCTAGCCACATGGTACCTACATAACCCTAAGTCCCCTACCCCCAAAACCTAGCCTCCACTGTCAGAGTGCACAGACCTCTACCAGACCGTATCTCTGCGGTCTGGCCATTTCCACCTTCCTACCTGATGTGGAAGTCTCCTTCATTTACAGGTTCTGGCTCGCCAAGGCCTACACTGGCGCTGCGCTGCTCAAGCACTCCAGCACACCTCGCCCTAGCTCCGCAGCCCCGCAATCCGCCCCTCCCTGGGCCACACCACCTCGCCCACTTGCTGTTTTGCCCCTGGGCCCCTTTCCCTCCCCACCACCAGCTCTCTGGGGCCTTCTCCCTGCCCCCAAGAGATTCTCCCAGCGGCGTTCCTGGCCAGCCTCCATTCGGTCGCAGGCTCTGTATTCGGTGTCTGATAGGGGTTTCAAGCCAGGGGTGAAAATGGGACCTGGACCCCGCAGGACCCGTCCCCGCTTAACTCCCAGGCGCTTCAGTGACCCTCTCGGGGCTCCCCCACCCACCCCGCCCAGCCACCCTCAGGGGCTCTAGCCACCCAAATCTCCCCGATGCGGCGGGTCCCTCCTATCCGGCGACAGGCAGCGGGGGTCGGCAGTGACTCACCGGAGGGCCAGCGGCCGGAATACGCTCACTTCCTCTCCGCGCGCACCTGCCGGGCCCCGCTGGAGCGCCGCCCGGCCGGGCCTCCGGCGGATGTTTTTTCTGTCCCGGCGCTCGCAGGCAGTACGCGCCAACCACTGCCTCCCGGCCGCTCCCCCCGCCCCCCGCAACTGGCACCCCCAACCACCGCTGCCCCAGGAATCACAAAATTGGACCCTAAACACGGACATCCCCAAGAGACAGGCGCGCACACACAGAGCAACCACAAGCGTGGCCTCCAGCCCCACGCAGCTACAGAAACGCACACTTGAGCACACCCACCAGCTGGAATGCAAGTGGGTTCAACCAAGACACCCACAGACACCCACAGCCCCACAACTTCTGAGAGAGGGATCCTGGCTCAGCCCCAGCCTTTCTTTCCAGAAGCCCCTACTCCTGCCCATAAGCCTACCTTCTCTTCGTTACAGGCGGCTCTCACTTCTGTCCCCATTACCTCACACACCAATCCCCATTGGGCCCCCTTTGCCTTCCAGCATCATCACCACCTTCAAGCTTCCTAGCTTCCCAGTCGTGTCTGCCCCCTACTGGGTTGGTTCCAGGTTGCAGGAGCAAAAGACTGGTCCAGACTTCCAGGGTGTCAGCATGTCCCCCTTCCCCAGAAAGGCAGAGGCAGAGCTATTGACCACTGACAAGACTTCTGGGCCCTTGTGCTAGAAAGCCTTCTCATCCATCTCCTCCAGCCAAGAGAGCAGTCCAGGGCCATGCCTCCCACACGCCAGCCTACATCAGAGCACCCTGCTTCAATCACTGAATCTTCTTTTTTCTCTCAGTACTCCTCTGAAATAGAAAGGTATCAGACCTGACTAGGGTGAACATGTGGTACAAATGGCATCTCCATCCACTTAAGCTATCTACTTGGAAGAGGACAGACAGGGAATCTGAGGTGGATGGATGAAGTTGTGTTTCTGAATGGTGAAGAGGTCAGGCAGGGTGGCCCTCTAAAAAGGTCAGCCAGAAGTATTCATATCTGATCCACTGGGTGACAGGGAATGGGAGTCTTGCAGTAAAAGGGACTGGAGACTCAGAAGGAAAAATAGAATGTCAAAGTGATTGGCGTAGGAGGGGAATAACTCAGATAGGGTCTTTGGAGTGTGGCAGACTGAGAGAGAGGGGCCATTAGTAGCAAAGAGATGGCCCCCATTAGAGTGGTCAGAAAGAAGAACTTGAGAGTTCACATGAGTGGGGATGGGCAGCAATGGATCAGAATCCTAACATGAAAAGCTGGAGCCCCCAAGTTAGCTGGAAGGATAAGAAAAGGACACCTCTTCCCAGGGCAGAAGTGAGGGGACTGAGCTAAGAAAAGTGGGTTTATCAGCAACACTGTTTCTCAAACTGGAGGTGGTAAGGGTGACATGGAACACAACTGTGAAGAGGGCAGACGTCTGTGGTAGGAGACCGCAGCCCCTAACAGAAGCCCTCGGCTATGCAGAGCTGCTCAATGTGATTTAAACAAAGGACTGTACCCATTTTGTCTCTGAACTCTAGCACCAATCACAGCAGCTACTATTTTCTGGGGGCCATGTGGCAGGGACAGTACTAATACCATTACATGTATTACCTCATTGAAAGCCTCTTAACAACCCTCTGAGTTAGTATTACTATCCCAATGTAAAGATAAGGAAACAGGTTTTAGAGAGGTGAAGTAGTTTGCCCAAGGTCACAGTCTTAAGTAGAAATAGAATCTGAATCCAACTAGTCTGATTCTATAACCTATGCTCTTAACCACCCACCTTGGGGGTCTCTCAAACCTGAAGGAGGATGTCAGAGGATTCCTCAATTCTCATTCCATAATGTACAAGAGGAAAGTGGCATACCTCTGTGAAATGAGTGATGCATATCGCCTGGGTATTTGAAGACGTTCCTCTTTGAAAGTACCACCCCTAGCTATGGGAAGATCATGTATCTACTGTGTGTTTGGAGGTACTGAACAATGCATCCTCAGGATGCTTGTGGAAGAGACACCTGCCTCCCCATCTCTGAGGGGCAGCCATGTCTCTAGGATACTTCTGGGAGATTCTGCCGTAGGGTCTGAGAGAAATATTCTGCACTCCAGGTGCCTGTTCGCTCTCCTGGAGCCTCTGGCTGTTGCACCCTACTGCAGCTCCTTGGTTTGGCTGGGGCACAGGATTAGCCATCCCCAGGAAATGCCTCCCTCCGGTCCAGGCAAGGATCCCAGCACACACACCCCTGGAGTGTGTATGTGTGTTGGGGGCAGGGTGGAATGCTTCCTTCTCTCCAGGTCAGGGAAGAGATGTGGGGACCACCTGGGGCCCTCCCCACTCCCACCTCCTTGCTGGGGAAATGCCCAGTCCAGTGCCCCTTCCATGGCCACCTCCCTCCCCCTAGCTGTGCCTGGGCATGAATCAGCTCTCACAGCTTGTTAAAAGCTGGACCTCTTGTTTTCATGCCCTCACCTCAGGAAACAGAATTACAGCTTTTCCAGCTCTACTCAGCAGGGGGCCAGGGTCCTCACTTTATAAACATTCCCAAGCCTGTGAGAGCAGAGGGCACGGAGATGGTGTGAGACAGAAGCCCAGGGGAGAAAGACAGAAACTACGACCGAAGGAGAAAAAGAAAAGCCAGAGACAAGACCAGAAGAGAGGCCAAGAAGGGATCGCGAGGGCTGTGCTACAGGAATGACCCTAAGGATGCTCTGGGCTGGACAGGCGAAGGGGGTCCTGGGAAGCCGGGGGATCATCTGCTTGGTGATCTCTCTGCTCCTCCAGCAGCCAGGAGTCCACAGCAAGTGCTACTTTCAAGCTCAAGGTAAAGCTGGGGGAGGCATTAGGAAAGGACAAGGACAGAGGGAGCTGGGGCGAGGGGGCTTAGAGATGATCCTCTACCAGAATACCCAGACTCCCTCCAGCTTGGAAACAGGAGAGACTTAATATGGGGGCAATATGCACTTACTTTCTCCCATTCCAGACCACAAGCAATTCTGTCGGCCACCAACAATCCCCAACACACTAACATTTCCTGTTCTTCCCTAGCCCCCTGCCACTATGAAGGGAAATATTTTACCCTGGGTGAGTCTTGGCTCCGCAAAGACTGTTTCCATTGTACCTGTCTGCATCCCGTCGGTGTGGGCTGCTGTGACACGTGAGTGACCAAAGACAGCCAGAGAGAATGGCTCTGACATGAGTGACTAAGGGCTGGCCAGGGTGGAACCAGATTGCTGTGATGTGAGGATGAACAGAACAGAGGTACGAGGCAGGCTGAACCTGAAGTTACCAACAAGAATTTGAGAGATAAGGCTGCAGGCTACAAAGTGAGGGATGTAGGGGTGGGTCTGGAGGGGAAGTATTTCTGCTGTGAAATGAAAAAATCCATATATGGTAGGTGAGAGCTTGGCTAGGGGGACCAAGAGGGCACTAAAGATATGGAAAAGATATGAGAGGAATGGTGGCAGAGAGAAGTGTGGGGCAGGGATAAAGGTGGCCCTTCACTGTGCTGACTCCTTTCCCATCCTTTGGTTCCCCAGGTCCCAGCATCCCATCGACTTCCCTGCAGGCTGTGAGGTACGTCAGGAGGCAGGAACCTGCCAATTCTCCCTGGTGCAAAAATCTGACCCTCGGCTGCCCTGCAAAGGAGGAGGGCCCGACCCAGAATGGGGCTCAGCTAACACCCCTGCTCCTGGGGCTCCTGCTCCCCACTCCAGCTAAACTCAACTGATCACCCTTCTGCTGACTGCCCACTGCTGCTGCCACTTCCAGGGAAACCACTAGCAGCTGCCAATTTATTCTGAATAAATAAATTAATGCTACAGCTGGAAGCCTGCCTCTTGTCGTCCGTGCCATTGGACCCCGCGTGGGAAAAATGGGCCCTACTAGAGTCCAGGTGCTGAGTTCTCAGTATCCTGAAGAAAGATAGTGTCACGGTGAGCCAGTTTCAGATGGTTATGGTGCTGGTGCTGGGGCCTGAGGCTGCATATGAGGCCAGGGTAGGGCTTGTGGGCAGCACCTTGATGGGGAGGTCCCAGCTGAAGGTGTCCACGGGCACTTGCTCAGGCCCTGTCCAGGTGACAGGCTCAGGCTGTTCCAAAGGAGGTAGGAGCACCAAACCTGGTTCTCGTGATGTTACAAATTCAAAATGCAATCGCCACTTCAGGGACACTGTGGAAAAAAAAGATAAAGGCAGAGGCATTAGAAGCCAGGAGTAAAAACAAGTGCAGGATGTGGTTAGTGAATGAGAAAAAAGGCAGTATTTGGGAAGAGGAGGAAAAGCCACAGGGCTAGGATCAAGGGTTTCTCCAAAGAAATCTGTTAACCAGAAATGTGACAATCAGGACAGCAAGGTCAAGCACCTAATAACCACAGCATGGGACAGTCAGGACTTGGGAGCTTGATGTAAACATGCTAGAGCATCAGAGATCAATGTGCCACAGGGTCACAGTGGGCAGGGGAAGGAAGAACACCCGCAAAGCTCTTAAAAGTTTAAGTGTCAGTGCATCTAGGAAATAGGCTGAAGATCAGAGAAAGTGTTAAGGGTCAAAGGCTGGGTGTAGGTATGGCCAGGAATTGTTAGGAATCAGGACCCATTACACTCCAGAGAAATAGGGCATTTTACTCTCTTCCCCCCTCCAATAATGGTCAGGATCTCACCAATGGCTGTGCAGAAGCCTGGGGTAGAGCTGAGAGGGATGGGGAGAGAGAAGCTGGTTCTGGTTGTATGCAGGCAGGACTCCTGGTGCCGGGCATGAGTCACATGAGACACGGAGGGGACACCCCCCGTCCTGCGGCGCCTCTGGTACTCGGGCTGTACACGCTCCTCAGTCTGTAAGCTTACTGAAAACTGGGAGCAAGAAGAGAAGTGGGTGCTAGCAGGCACTGGGAAGTGCGGACTCTAGATGAGAGGCTTGAGCCCAACCTCAAGCTTTTTACCAAGAGGACCCTGGGTGACCACACTCTTCACTTCTATATACCACCCCTCTTTATGCAGGCCTTTCTCCTTCCTCCCTAGCCCTCCAAGCCCAGTACCCCAAAAGCCCCTTTCCTTCTCACCTGCAAACAAGCTACAGTTCCTTCCCCTAAGTTTAAGGTCCCCACCACATCCTCGCCGAGTCTGTATACAGATTTGAAGATGCCAAATGTCCCAACTTTTCCTCGGCCATCACTGATATTGTATAGATCTGGGGAGAATGGGACACTATAAGCGTAGAGTCCACACTGGAGCGTATCAAGGGCTGGGAGCCAGAGGCCAAGGTGGGGCTTTTTGTTATAATGTGGGATATCAGTGAGTCCTTAGAAGTATGGGCAATTAGGAAAATCTATAATACTATGGGAGGATTGGTGGGGGGGCCAATTGTGAAAGGATTCTCACGGAGGCTGCGGCAGGATGTGGCAGCCATGAGACGCTCCCCAGCCAGCTCAGCTATCCATGAATCCTTCTTCCCACCTTCATCCTCTTCCAGGAATGGACTAGATGGGGCTACGGCCTCATCCTGGGGAAACCGGACATCTTGAAGGCCTACAGAGAATGAGCAGAAAATATTGCTAGGAGGGAATGGACAGTAGAGATTAGGTTTTAGACTCCAACCTGTGAAGGCTGAAGGTAATGGGAACCATGCCCCAGGTACCCATCTTAACTTATTGTCCAGAACGTCCCTCCCCAACACCCCTGCACCTTTACTGAGACCAGGAAGCCTTTCTCCAGCCCCCCACCCACAAGCCCTCTTTAGATCATTTCTGCTTTGGTGAGGCTCTTCCCCAGCCCTGGATTTCGTCCAGAAATCCTTACTTACCCGTCAGCACAAGAACCCTCAGAGGAACCCTGAGTAAAGTGATGGGTGAGTTGACACGCTGGCAGCCAATGGTCAGTTTGTAGACATACTTGACTGACTGACCCCGAAAGGAGGGTGGTCCCTCTATGGGCAGCACCTCACTGTAGGAGTCTGGTTGGGAAGTAGTAGTCAGGGCAGCCAGAGAAAGCCAGAGAAGTCCTCCCTCCAGGAGCCTTAGAAGGCAATCCAGGGGTGGGGAGGAGGCAGTCACTCACATGATTTGGACTCTCCAGGATCTAGCCTCAGATCACAGAAAAGGATTTTTGGTGGAGTGGAAAGGATACACTGACCTCTCTCACCTAAAAGAGATTAAAACAAAACAAAACAAAAAAACCCCTGCAATTTAATGACCCCATTGTCCAGTACTGGATGAAGCTAGCACAGCAATGGGGGCCACTAGCACTGCCAACAAAGAGCAGCCCAAAGTAAGCTACCCCTCTTTTCTTATTGTAAGATAGGATCAGTCTTATACCCCCAACATTAACAAATACATTCCTCCACATCTCCGATACGACAAAGACTAGAAGCACCCACTAGAACAATTTAACAAATTCACTCTCAGGTGGCAATGACTCCGCCCCCTTCCAAAGGCAAACGCCCATCTCTAACCTCGGTGTGGCAGAAAGACAGTCTGGCTCTCTGGCTGGACATCTGGCTGACTGGAGTCAGGGGGAGGTAATGCTACTCGACTCTCACTGGCATGGAACTGGCAGTGGATTTGGGCACTGGCCCAGGCCAGAGCCTCACTACGGGAGGAGGAAAAGAAAAGCATCAGAGGGGCGATCCTGACCTCACAAATACTCTCCCAAGCTCCCTTATCCCCCTGAGGAGACCAACACCATCAGGTGACTGTCCTAGGAGTAAGGGAATCTAGAACCCCAAAGAGAAGTACACTATGGGTAGAAACGGGAATGGGGGAGAAGAAAGGAAGGGCGTGTGGAGGGCTCTGTCAATCCCATCTTCTGTTAAACAGCCCTTTCCTACAAGAGAACACAATGAGCAACAAAGTGGTGGTGTAGCTACACGACAACCTGAGCTCTGGCTTAGCAGTATAGATACCAGGTTTTCTCCCAGAAGAACCACCTTCTTCAGTATCTGCATCCCTACCTGGATGCAGAAGTGGCCGTGGGGGGCAGGGGGTTGGTGACCGTCACTACACACTCCAGCGCCTCGCCCGCCAGAAACACAGGACCTCGGCTCAGCTCTGCTACCACTTCAATCATGGCAGCTCCGGAATGAGAACTAGAGGTAAACGGGGGTGGGGGTGGGGGTGTCAGAGGTCAGTACCATGGCAGGGAGGAGCGTCTGCGGCGAGCCTGGGGGCGAGGACAGAGAAGACGGGCAGTCACCGCCACGGAGTCTGGGAGAAACATCTGGATTTGGGATGCGGGAGGTGGATGGCAAGTACGGGTAGCAGCTGACTCAGTAAAGATAGGACTTCGCTCGGGGCCCCATACCCCCGGCCCCTCTTAGCGCCGAGTTAGTTCCCTTACCACCCACCCCCGAACCTCCAAACCGGCCTCCGCCGCCCTCCCTCCAGATTCCACGTCCCAGCCCAAGGCCGCCGCTGCCCGTCACCTCGTGCCCCTAGCCCGGGCACCTCGCACGGTCCAAAACTGGGTCTCGGCACACCGAGGCCCTCAACTGCCCGCCCCTCCAGAACCGAGCCAAGTGCGTGGAGGCGCCCGCGACAAAGGCGGGACTTCCCTTCAGCCCCCCTTCCCCACAGAGCGCCTTCCGGCCGGAAACGCCCGGCCGGCCCAACCGGAAGGGGCTCGGGTCGTCCTGCAGCCTTGGGTCACCTTCCCACGGGCTGGCACCTGGGCGCAGGCGCTGTTCCAGACACCAACCGGCGGGACCCGGCGTCCCACCCAGGGAAGGGCCTGGCGCGACGGCCAGGGAACCAGGCTGAGGCTGCGGAGAGCTCCCAGGCCGGTCCCGGGGGCGGTTCCTTGCGGGCTGGCCCCCGGGGCTCCTCCCCTTTCCGCGGACTCGGTAGCTCTTTGGTCGGGCAAGCTAATCACCGCGGCCCAATGACGACGAGGCCCGACCCTTCCCTCCCAGGACCCAGAAAGACGACCGAGGGGGAGCCCGAGGCGGCTTCATTGCTGTCGCCGCCAAAGCCGCTGCAACAACAGCTCCCAGGCTCCACAGAGACACCAGTTCACCTCGGCTTTCCCCAGCGCCCGGCTCTCCGAGACGACACCTAACTACCACAACTGCCCACATCTGGACTTGGCTTGCGAGGTATTTTGTACCAAAAGACTTGGGACCAGGGACCATCGAGGTCGTGCGGACCCAGGATCCAGGGAACATGGGAACTGGAGTCCCAGCCTCGGAGCAGACGAGGTGTGCCAAAGGGGATCCACAGGTTTATTGCCCTGAAAATGCTGGAGGCACTGAGGGTGGGCAGGTTACAGACCTCCAGAGCCCTGAAGACAATCGACCCCAAAGTGAGCCGGGCGGCAGCAGTCCGGAGGACTCTGGGCAACTGATGGCATCCTATGAAGGTAAAGCTAAGGGCTACCAGGTGCCTCCCTTTGGCTGGCGCATCTGCCTGGCTCATGAGTTTGCAGAGAAGAGGAAACCCTTTAATGCCAACAACGTGTCCCTAAGCAACTTGATAAAGCATCTGGGCATGGGCTTGCGGTGAGTAGATCTCATTGCCTACAGTACGTTAGGTTTCACTTTGTTCCAGCACAAGCCTTCCAGCAGAGGTGAGAAAGGGTGAGAAAGCAGGTGAGTGCTTTGTCCTAGTCAAGTGGCCCCCAACCCCCAACATATTCTAAGCCTGTGGTTTTAGGGGGTGAGACTGGGTCACATTTCTGCAACTCCCATCCTCCCAGTAACTTAACCTCCTAGTAGGAAAGAACAGGAATATCTGGACCTGTAGTCAGCCTTTC